GATCAAGGCAGCTTCACTCCTCTAGTGTTCAAACCTCTGGTGGGATGGGCCCAAGTGCAAGATGTTTCTACGCCAGACTCGCAGAGTTGATCTCCGAACAGAAGCAGCAGCCCAGAAGTTATGTTATAGCCTGGATGAGATGTTGACTGTCCTTCTCTCTCCTTCGGTCGGCTTTGCTCTGCCTCAGGGGAACGAGAGCTTCTGCCCCTACTCCGACAACTGCTGCAGATATTGACTATGAGGCTACAGTCACTGAATGCCGCATAGATCTGCGGCTCAACTAATTTAACACAGATAGGATAGCTTATTATGTATTAGGATATTTAATATTAAGGTAAATAAATGGCGGCGAAGGTGTGGCTATTGGGGGAGGCTGGAGGCGACGTAGTAGTAGTAGTAGTAGTAGTAGTTATAAAGGAAGTCGGAACAGATCATCACCAAAAACTGTTTCACCAACGTCTTCTGGAGGATGTTACTGCAAGACGATGTGAATGAACTGAGACATTTAGTAATTCCTACCTGTGATCTGTTACTGGTGGATCTATCTTACAGCTGATGAGGGTAGAGGTTGGTCTGTTAGCTCGAGGTAGTGAGGGTAGAGGCTAGTCTGTCGACTGTAGCTGGTGAGGATAGATAATGGTCAGTCAAATTTTAGGCGGTGACTGTTTGGCCAGCCACACGTATACTAGCCGTAACATCACACCCCACTCACCAAGCTACGAATCTTGCAATTGGCCTGACGTCGACAAATCTATAACTAAAGCCCCTCCCCCTTATAGGCCAGGCTCTAAGTGAGCGCTCACCCACGATATATATATATATATATATATATATATATATATATATATATATATATATATATATATATATATATATATATATATATATATATATATATATATATATTCAGGCAGGATATTTCAGATATATTGTATATTTCAAAATTCTGGGTGTCTATTCCTGAGACGTATTGTGCATAGGGGTAAATGGCCTCATGACCATAGTGTCAATATTTCACAGTCTCGGAGTTGTAAAATATGAAAATACGAAGCTAGGTTAGGTTAGGTTTGGTTAGGTTTTGTATGAAACTTTTCATTTATATGTATTTTTTTATGATTTTCATGATCGTTTATGGTCAGTCAGATTCCAATAAAGATAAATATATAAATAAATTTAAGTAAATAATTGAAAAAAAGAAATCTATAAATAAATATATAAAAAAATAAATATACCACACCCTGACACCCAAGACCTAGACCTCATTTTGACAATCGGGACCTAGACCAAATTCTGACACCAAGGATTAATTAATGCACTGACACCCAGGACCTAGACCACACCCTGACTCAGGATCTAGACCACACCCTGACAACCAATATTAAGTCCACACTCTGACACCCAGGACCTAGACCACACCCTGACACCTAGGACCTAGACCACACCTTGACAACCAATATTAAGTCCACACTCTGACACCCAGGACCTAGACCACACCCTGACTCAGGATCTAGACCATACCCTGACACCTACGACCTAGACCACATCCTGACTCAGGATCTAGACCGCACCCTGATACCTAGGACCTAGACCTCACCATGACACCCAGGACATAGACCTTACCCTAATACCTAGGACCTAGACCACATCCTGACACCAAGGACCTAGACCACATCCTGACTCAGGATCTAGACCACACCTAGGACCTAGACCACATCCTGACACCCGGGACCTAGACCACACCCAGACACCCGGGACATAGACTTTACCCTAACACCCACAACACACCTCTGAGAACTAACGATTAGTATTTTCTGGTGAGACGATCAAACCATGTCTACGAGGAGATGCAACACATACAGAAATTTGACTCTTCGGTCACTGTCCCATGACGTATCTGGGTGGAGTGTCTCTGTGTGATAGTAAAAGGTAAATCTTCTAACTTCCATTTTCGTAATATTAAGAATATAAGACTTGTAAAGTGCAAAATAGAAAAAATAGCTTAGAATAAAATAGTTTAGAATGCGGCATGACAAAAGGCTTCTGTTCAAGAGCCACTCAGTCCATTACCAAAACACGCAAACGTCTAGGACAAGAAAATATTATTCAATAGTTCTTATACTGCTGTCTGTTCTGGCGAGTCGGAAACTAAAATATTTAGTGAAATATTTTTATTAGGTCTCTCACTTAAATCATAAACTCTTGTTACTTCTCCAAATAGCTATTTTTATAGACTTGTCATTAATATTGATGAAAACAAAAGAAAGTTTTGACAAAATATACCAAGGGAACACATTGTAACCTTCCTCTCTTTATCCTTCCTCCACTTTCGCCAGAACTAGTCTGTTCTTGCTACAGTGACAAGTAAACAGAATGCTGAATCTCTGATGTCACTCACTGTTGACAAAAGCTGAACCGATATGGCATCTGAACACTGATTGCTTGGGTGTATTATAACTTTCCTAGGCATTGTGCACGATTCCTTATTTGACAATTTGCTAATATAATATATTGTATACAGGTATATAAACAAACGATATTACGTTCACAAAAAAAAAATATTTTCACACGAATAAATCCTGTAACATGATAATTTTTTCATAATAATATATCAGGATTTCATGAAAATACGTTATATTTGCATAGGACTTAATCATTTCTTCATGAGGAACTATCCTGTTGTCATGGAACTCAAATTGGTTTTAATGTGAAAACAGCCTATGTTTTGGGATATTAGCCAGTTCAATTGGTTATGATTACGGAGTTCACTTGATTACGATTTGTCGCAACATTTTATTTTTCTAGGTTAATTAAAGATCATGGTTCCATCAGTACCATTACCTTTACCCATGTACTACAAGCATACTATTTTAATGTCATGTGACGTTCGTTGATTTGCTTTTCTGGCCTTCGACACCTGAGGTCATTTTGGCGGAAAATCATGTGACGTTTCATATGTCACCTGATAGTTTAGTTACCCTGCATGCTCCTCGTGTTCTGTAATATGAATTATAATAGAAAACCCCAGGAATATCATGTGAATTTTCGGATTTAGTGACAACACTTCAAGTAGCTACCCCTATTGGATGTCACTTCATATAGGTATATAAAGAAATGGATAGATCGATGGACATATATATTTAGTAATTCACTATACATGTTCACGGTAATTATTCCTAAAAAAAAGGACATACGATTTAGGCATGATGAAGAAATAATGTAGCCTTTCATTTTGATTATAGTGGTGATATTTAAATTTGAGAAAATGCATAATTATTGACTTATGACCCTTCCCATCCTGTCAATCCTGATCCCATCAAAGGTTGGCAAGGATTCGAAGAGGGGAAAATGTGTACCTAAAAATATAACTAAGAGAACCTATCCTAAATTAATCTGGTCATTGTACTCACTTAGAGGGTAATAATTTGTCAAACACCGGCATACAATTGAAACTCGTACGTCGTTGTTTCCGGAATAATAGCCAAGTTCACATTGGATCATGTATTGCATAGAGAGTGCAAGCAGTGCAAACAATGGTAGTTAAATCGAATCACCAAGGTATCTGCATCTTGTATTTTGTTGACAATGTCAGATTCTACGTGGATGTTTTAAACTGCGTTTGTTTCATCTTGGTTGATGTAAACAGTGGCAACTTCTATTTGCATAGATGAACAGTGTCAACTTGTTCAGTCGCCGTTAAAAGTAATCATCTGTGCATGGCAGGGTCCTTTCTGCACAATAAGTCACGTGGGTGGAGACGGGGGATGGCCGACTTGGAGGATGGCTATTTGTTGGGAAGAGGGGATATTCTACTGTACAGTGATGAACCTACGGTAATACACAGTGGAACTCCATCCGAAATAGCTTCTCAAGTGATTGTTACAAGTGGTGACAACCCAGGAAGGTTGTTACATATTTGACAGTTTCACAAGTAACTGTTATATCACACTAACACACAGTATGGAGGAGAAACCGATCACTCTCTCAGTCTTCAAGCAACATGGAAAACTGGCTTATCCACACAGAGGCAGCTCTCATCGGCTCTACAGCTACTGTCTCTACACCGCAGGTTAGACACCCTAGAGCAGCACTGCTTCTCTAAGCAGACACCAGCTCCTCTTCCTGCCCCAAGCACCACGTCCTACCGACCCCAGCAGGCGCATCTGAGGACTCTGTACCTGCCGCGAGGGAAGCACAACATTCATCGCCCCCACACACCCTTTTTCTCCCTCTCTTCTTCCACAGATCTCGTGTGTCTAGACAGTTGTCTCCCCTAGCGGCCGGCTCATCCACGCCCTCGCCGTTATGTCTCACATGTAGCATGCACCGCCCGTTCTGCCTCACATGTGCCATGCAACCCTGCAGACAACAAGTCTCCTACACCGCCTGGAGGGAAGGGGGAGTATTGTAGTGGATTCCTCCCCTACAAACGCTTTTGTCTCTGAGCAGCCGACCCCGCGAATTCCCCAGTGTATGCCTCGTGGTCTAGGTAAACCAGCGCCGCCTTACATAATGGAGGTCAACTATTAAGCCACGCCTACCTTCGCTATATAAGATCTCACCTCGTGGTGACCTACCTCTTTCTACCTACAGCCAGTCTTCAAGCAACACCTCCTCCTCCACTCCTGCCTGGCGGCCCTCGCTCCAGCCGGCGACCATGGCGACCCACACCTTGTAGTGACCACTCTTACTACCCACAGCCACCAGCATCCAACAAAGAATCCAGAGGAGAATGACAAGACTAATCCCGAGCATTAGGAACCCATTCTTAGTTCTTATTTCTTATCTAAATTTGCAGTGTTGTGAGTTCTTTAAGCGAGGGGCGACCAGATAGTAAGTGGAAATGTATCTAGGGAATTGCATAGGGTAGAGCCAAAGTTCATCCTTGTATCCAGTGTTAGCGGAAATCATAAAAAATAATAATTTAAGACAAATAAAGTTTATTTGTAAATAGGTAAACACATTTTAGAAACAGATAGTGGATCATACACCAACAAATTACAGTCGAATACGCTGTCCTAAACCTCGCTATTCTACCACAGGTCTTAGATTATGGAGTAACTATATGAAATAAAATAACTAAGACATAGCTAACATATACAAGTAATAAAGTAAGAAATTGAGAGAACACAAGGGTGAAACTAAGACAGAAAGTAAATTAAAGCAAACAAGAAAAGAGAAATTCCCCTATAAAAGAAAATAATAATTATAAATGAATCTGCCCACTGTATAAATGTTAACAACCGTGGGATAAATTAATAAGAAAAGCCTAATAAGAAATCCGCCCTCTTATACAGTAAACTTATAGCCCTTCCAAATTGTAATATCTTTTTGTAACTTTATAGTCAAATTAACTCGAAAACTAAAATTTTCCCAAAAAAATGGTATAAAGTAATTTTATTATATTATATTGTACTCTACCAAATCATAACCCTTTTGAAGTACTTATCAAGAAGTACTGTATCTGAACAATAAGTTTCATAATTGCTCAAGTACTAGTGTTGAGAACAGTTAGCTTATGCACACCCTACACACGTAGGTATGAAAGGATGGCCATATGGTCAGGTACACAAATGAATAGGTGAAACATAATGATTTTTTTATCACTCATAACAAAGTATTAAAAATAATCCAAAAGCAATACAGAAAAATATCCTGAATATCACAAAGAGGAAGTCTTGTCATCGAGAAATAGCGGGCAGAGAGGGTACTGCAGCCCACAGGCTCTTCTCTCGGCCGTCGTCAGGAGGATCCCGACCTCGCTCGTCCTCACAGGTGATAACAGCAACAACCTGACGGAAAAAATATATCTTACTGTAACAGTATATTCGCTGCTACAAAAATACCACGAAAATTATTGCTAAGACACGTATGTTAATATTATTTAGCAAATTCATTAGTTATTTATATTTTCTTACCAGATTTTAAAAGCAAACGGGAACCAGCCAAACAAACTTTGCTTTACCGACCTCGTTTTAGTTAAGATAGGTTAAAGATTATAGGCTCGTGTCACCTAAGAGTTTAGCAGGATAGAATATTCTATTTGTTTTTCTTTATTTTTATGTTGCTGTCATTTTTGTTTTTCAATTCATTTCGCTTATTTTTCTTCTTTTTTCTCATTCTTTCTTCATGTATCTCTTTCTCTATTAGCTTCTCTATTTTCCTAATTTTGTCTCGGTGTCTCGCTTCCTCTGTCTCATTATTTTCTTACATCCTTCTCTCTCTCTCTCTCTCTCTCTCTCTCTCTCTCTCTCTCTCTCTCTCTCTCTCTCTCTCTCTCTCTGAAAAGGGTAGAAGTAAGCAGAAATTTAAAAGGATGAGAGGTAAAAATGAATGAAGCAGAAAAAAGAAAGTAGACAGAAATTGTTGTTAGCCTGGATGAGATGTCGACTGTCCTCTCCCCTTCGGTCGGCTTTGCTCTGCCTCAGGGGAACGAGAGCTTCGGCCCCAAAGCCGACAACTGCTGCAGATATTGACTATGAGGCTACAGTCACTGAATGCCGCATAGATCTGTGGCTCAACTAATTCAACACAGCTAGGATAGTTACTTATGTATTAGGATATTTAATATTAAGGTAATAAAATGGCGGTGAAGGTGTGGCTATTGGGGGTGGCTGGAGGCCACGTTTAAAAAAAAAAGATGTTGTAATAGTAGTAGTAGTAGTAGTAGCATTGCTCTAAGGTACGGTAGGCCAGTAGAAGGCTAGCCCTCCCAATGAGCGTTTGTCTCTTCCTATGACATCGATGGTGTGCAAGAAAGGGGGATTCATATGCGTGAGGCATGACGAAGTAAGGGATCTCACAGCAAATATGTTGAAGGAAATCTGTCATGATGTCAGGGTAGAACCGACACTCCTTCCATTGGACGATGAGAATTTCCAACATAGGAATTCAAACACATCCAACGAAGCCCGTGTTGATGTTAGTGCTCGAGGATTCTCGACGTAGGGACAGCGAGCCTTCTTAGACATCAGGATTTTTTATCCCATGCCGCATGTCACCGTAACTTAGCTCTCGATGCTGCACACAGGAGGAACGAGAACGACAAGATAAGGGCATACGGGGAGAGAATTCAGAACATTGATCAAGGCAGCTTCACTCCTCTAGTGTTCACAACCTCTGGTGGGATGGGACCAAGTGCAAGATGCTTCTACACCAGACTTGCGGAGGTGCTTTCTGAACAGAAGCAGCAGCCCAGAAGTTATGTTACAGCCTGGATGAGATGTCGACTGTCCTTCTCTCTCTGCCTCAATGGAACGAGAGCATCGGCCCCAAAGCCGACAACAGTTGCAGATATTGACTATGAGGCAACAGTCACTGAATGCCACATGGATCTGCGGCTCAACTAACTCAACACAGCTAGGGTAGATACTTATGTATTAGGATATTTAATTTTAAAGTAATAAAATGGCGGCGAAGGTGTGGCTATTGGGGGTGGCTGGAGGCCATTTAAAAAAAAAGTTATAGTCGTAGAAGTAGCTGAACAACAGGAAGAACATACGGCGCAGCTGTAGTGGGAAGGAGACTGACACCCTCACAAGCCAGCCTGGCGACGCACTCTGGATAGTGGGTCAGCACCGTCCTCCCCCACACACCCATATCTCGCCCACTTCCTCCTAGGATTTCCAACACCGACTCTGGAATCGAGATAGGTGAAAACCGATTATTCACATGACATAAATATCTCCTATGATTTCCTGTGGATCTTTAATAGACTTTAACGTTCTTCAATAACTTGTCTCAGAATCTCCAACATAAGATCTTGGAGAAAAACGGGTAATGTAAATAAACTTCTTTTCAAAATATATCTAAGATCTTCATGAATTCAGGGGATATAATCTATTGATTAATTCATATATCCTTACTTACAAAATATAATTTGTTAAAATCTACAGAGATCTTTAATTTGTAATAGATAAAATAAATGATACTTAGACATGTGCATTTGTGAATTCATGAATGTTGTTGCAATAAAATAAACTTTAATTTTGATGGGAAAACCAGAGTTTTGCTAATGAAATCTACGTGATTATATTAAGGTGGTTAATAGAAATAAGGTGAAATTCATCAAAACTGACTTGAAAAAGCCACACTAATCCCAAATTAATTCTGTGATTTCATCACATATTGCTTTGTACACACAGCTCTTCTGTTCTTCACCCTTTTCCTTCGCCTTCTATTCCTCCTCCTCTTTATAAACGAGATACTTGAATTAATAAGATATTTTCTGCGTCTTTCTCTTCTATTTTTCCATCGCCTTTCTCTTCTTCTAAGAAATAGTAAAGTGATTGAACTCTTACCTTCTTCCACTTCTTCATTATCCTCGCAGACGCAGCTTTCATCGTTAGCATCATCGCCATCGTCTTTTCCCATAAGATGCTTAAAGTTGTTGAAATCCCAGATGTCGTCACCTAGATTAAGTTGTGAGAATCCTCTGGCCATAGCCCCATTCTGATTGTTGTTGTTATTATTGTTATTGTCATTATTATTATTGTTATTATTGTTGTTATTATTATTATTGTTGTTAATGACGTTGATGATGTTGACGACGGTGTTGAAGGAGATGAGAAGGAAGGAGAGAAAGCCAAAGGTGGAGAACCCAACCGAGGGAGGGCAGCTTGACCCCTTACTGTCTCGCCTCACAAGGTGGTGGTGGTGGCGGCCGCGCCCTGGATGAGAGGATGGAGAAGAAACAGTTAAGTTGTACACAGACATATCTTCATATGCTATATATAAAAGTATATGTGCTCAGGTGACGACACATACAATTTCTTAATTAACACTCAGTTATACATACTCTGTAGGTCATGCATGCAATCATTAAATAAACAACCAACCAATGAGAACAACTGGGAGATTGTCAGGTCCACACCAGCTCACTATAACAGTAACACAGCAATGAGAATTAATCTTATAATTAATTTTATTAATAGATATATAGCCTTATTATACTCTCAGAGCAGTAGGCTCACAAGTTACTGACAGGTTGTAGTAGGTCAACCCCTATCACCAGTCATCTCTTCCTTAAATCTTTCTTAATAGTGAAATACCTGTGTCTGACGTAGGTAGGGCTGGCAGTGAGTTGTTGTGTGATGGCAGATGTTGGTAGTGAACTGAGTAACGCAGGAGACGGCCCTCGCCCTCGAGGAGAAAATATCCCAACAGCAACAGTAATGACGGTAGAATGATCTTCATTATATCGTCACTACACAGGAGCAGAGATGAGAGAGACCTTCATCAAATTCTTACAAAGCAAACAGTTATGATTAAATACTAGCTGGGGAACCTAGCGTTGCCTGGGTTTGTTTCTGAGGGGCTGCTCATGGCCTATCTCCGTGACTAACCTATCAGCTATACTATAACCCATACACTAACATCAATACTTCATCCACTACACTATCATCTACACCACCACAGGTACCATACCATTGATCTTCTTCACCACAACTGTGCCAGTAACCATCCTACACAACACCCACTTTGCCTCACATCCTCCTTCAACACCCACACTGCACCACTGATTCTCCTTTACTACCACCACCACCACCTCTGTACCACTGATCGTCCTTCACCACCACCACTGTACCACTGATCCTCCTTCACCACCACCACCACTGTACCACTGATCGTCCTTCACCACCACCACTGTACCACTGATCTTCCTTCACCACCACCACTGTACCACTGATCTTCCTTCTCCACCACCACTCTACCACTGACCTTCCTTCACCACCACCACCACTGTACCACTAATCGTCTTTCACCGCCACCACAACCACCACTGTACTACTAATCTACCTTCATCATCACCACCATTACCACCACTGTACCACTGATTTTCCTTCATTACCACCACCATTGTACCACTGATCGTCCTTCACCACCATCACTGTAACACTATTTTTTGTTCACCACCACCACCACCACCACCACTGTACCACTGATTTTCCTTCGCCACCACAACCACAACCGTACCACTGATTTTCTCCACCACTAACGTACCACTCACTTCACCTCAGCAACAAGTAGACTGACTCCGATGATATGAACTAGCGGTGTGCGGTGGGAACTGGGGAGAAGGGCTGTGTTGGCTGGGGTGGGTTAGTGGATGTGGAGGGAGGGAGTAGTGAATCGGGAGGGGGTTAACAGTGAGAAAACGGGTAAAATGTAGGTGAGGGAGCGGAGAACGGTGAGAGAGAGAGAGAGAGAGAGAGAGAGAGAGGAAACAAAAGGTGGGAGAGTACTTAAGAAGACGGGAAGAGAAGAATATTGGATGGTCAGAAAGGAATTAGAACGGCCAAGAATGAGAAGGAAAGTGGCTAAGATGAAAGGGATGAAATAAAAGTGGGATAATGGGGGAGGAAGAATGATTCTGTCTCAGACTGATATAAAGGAAAGAAAGCGCTAGTATAAGATGCAAAGTGGCAATGGCATGATGGGAAAAGAAATATAAGGAGAGAGACTGAGAAGGAAGAATAGGATAGGATAAATATTAACGAGAAGCGAATTAAAATGCTTATCTGGCGGTTACTCCAGAAGGTAAAGAGTGGAGTTTTAAGACGGAGTGTCTATAGGTAGTGTGTGCTAAGAGGAACAGACGAAAAAGGAAGGTATAATGTAGGATATTAAAGGCAAGAAGAGAGGGCTGGTGGTGTGGGGGGAAAGAGGAGACACAAACAATGGTGGAGAGTGGAGGAGAAAGGGAGGGGGGTGGAGATAGGGACCGAAAGAGTACATATGCAAAGAGAGGTAACAAACACGGTATCGGTGTGTGAAAAGTGAAATTGACTCCTATAGGCATTACTGCCCTTCAGATACAGTACACTGTATGAGTGTATACTAAACCATTGGGCACACTACAAGGGGGCAGCATGGCAGTATGCTCTCAACCGCATTCACATCTCCAAGTTGTAAACTTAGGTACCCATTTACATCTGGATGAACAGGGAGAGCCTGTAATTTGAACTACCGACACCCGGTACAAGAGGCGAACGCCCTATCCACACGACCGCCGCGTTCATATGTGTGTAGGTTACCTCAAATAAGCACGTTCCCGTTAGTCGTTAGGCTCCGTTACCCACCTGTGTCGTGGAGTGTGTAATTGTGGGTTATTAAATGTGTATTCACAGTCACCTTTTACCATTGACCGTTTCTCACGACTGGCTTCTCTATCTATATGAAGCAGCCTTGTTTTTTCTCTTAACCAGTTCCCCGACTTTTTCAACCGGTTTCTCTATCTCACCAAATATAACCAATTAACCATTTCCCCAACAAGCCTTATCTACTGTGGGCCTGCCGGGGGACGCTCTAGAGCAGGTGTGACTCAGGTAGATGATCCCCCGTAGCAGGTACCGTTCTCTTGATTGTTGAATGAGCGAGGGGCAGGCCAGACGTACTGTAAAGCCGTGTGTGTGTGTAGTCAAATACTAGGTAGATTTATATTCCACCATCTAGTTAGTAATAATTTTAGAATATATCCTCCCATATCTGTGACCATAACTAGAGGTATCCTTGCGTCAACACTAACTCCTTAACCAAAATACTTAGCAGTAGGTACAGTATATAAGAAATATATTGATTATTGGCTAGTAATTTCATCTTTTCTATGTGATTTATAATTTCATTGTAAGAAAAGGTGGTTCGTGTAGTGTATTGGTGTTCCGTAACATGTATGAATATTCCGTGGCGTGTAATAGATGGTCCTTGACGTGTATGGATGTTCTGGGACGTGTATGGATGTTCCGTGACGTGTATAAATGGTCGGTGGCATATAGCAGATTTACAGAAGGAGAATAAAACAGTATATCCACCATACATTCATATTTGTAACACATACAATTAAATGCCATAACACATTAATGTCACAAAGTAGAACAGGAGGAAAAAAGAAAGCACCAGGGAGATTATCATACGAAGCTCCGTGGTAAGGAAGAACCAGATGCTGATGTGAGAACTCATAAGTGAACAAACAACGAAAGAACACAGTGGAAAAATAGCAATGATTAATTCTGATTCTTGAAAACCAATAATTTTACCTATTAGGAGCGATTCTTCTCTTGGAATAATAAATTGATCGCTGGGCCCTATGAAAATTCCTTTAAGTGACTAACATTCTACCATACATTGGTTGAACTGTCAATAATATTAGTTCTAGGTAAATATCACCTGTAATAAAAAGTGATACATCAGTGTCACTCTGAAGTCTTCCCTTCTGGGTTTCATTGCACCTTGTTCCTCGGAATTAATCAGATCTGTAACCTGTTGATTTCATGCTCAGTTTAGTATGTATCTTAGCCTATATTAGTGGCATCATCTTCACTAACGTCACTATATAGTTAACCGGGTGAGAATCTACTCTAAACATCTTTCTTATAGAGGAAGGATAAGATTCCTATTAGAGTATATGAAGAAAGCAATGAAATATTTTAAGACAAGAACACAGTCGAGAGGGAAGGAATTTCTCATCGCCTCTTGTTTACTATATGTATTCCATTATTTGTACTGGGCGTCGACCATCTTCCCATTCTTAGTAAATTCCTCTGTTAGTAATAACCTAACTTATCAATACTTGCCACACAAATTACACAACTTGGGGATTCATCAACATAAATTCATCATTTTATTCTAAATGAAGTAAAAAAAAGAATCGTAAATAAGATATAAACCACACACACACATGAATCCCTTTAACGACTTCATCCATCACTGAATAAGGGGATTTACCTTTGTTAGCAAGAACCGTAGCAAGACAGATGTAAACACACACATCCAAATTTCACAAGTCTTGCATGAATACACTCAGATACATGTGCGGGTACATGACACGATTCTACAACAACATAATAATGATATACCGTTAGACTATGGCCCTAAAATTAACCTTATACTATTTGTTTTGATAATTCAGTTTATTTTTTACAGATGAATATGATATTGGGAACCTAGTTGTCAAGGTCATATAGGGATAGTAGGAGAAAAATGATGATTTAGCAACCTAGAATATCCTGCAACGAAGGGGGGCGTCTTCCTCCTCTCACTAAGGGGTCCCTTGAGTTACCCCACAGCGACAGAATATCCTGTAACGAAGAGGTTATCCTCCTTCATCAACTGGCCTACATAATGCAGGTTTACCCCCTACGAGAGGAAGCTAAAGTGAGAGTTACTCGTACATATTGCACTGTCTTTGATGAATTTTTTGAAATGACAATGGTTGTGAAGGCGATGGATGCACATACATGCTACTGGAAGAAACAGGAAAGAGAAAAATAACTGTCTCTTAGGGCAGAGTTTACAGTCTATACATTTGACTTGTATTTACACATAGAAAAATAATGTTTATAAAAGCAACTATTGGTTTCTCTACATCAATTGCCCGAGGTATATTAAGAATTTAGCTCTACTTTTTTTCCTACATCTAAGTCAAGAATAGATTTAGTGTACAAAAATATCATGTATCTGGCAGATTAAATGCTTTTGTTTTGTTGATAATATTGTGGTAGTAGATGTGGAGAAGTAGTCATGAGGATTACGGTTAAATATCGTGTTATATACTTGTTTTGGCAAATATACTAAAAGACGTTCATATATGCTTTATATTTCATTCACAGTAATACTATTTATCCGTACACCTAAAATTCACATAAAATTTATTACGGATTGGCTAGTGACATCAAGTCTTACTACACCTTAGTCTACGGGCACCAAGTAGGACCCATGTTATGGGTCAGAGTGCCATTACTGAACAAACTCGATAATATTTTCTCACGCAAGTGTAATCCCCTGTCACACTGTCCATCGTCTCCAAGGTGTATAGTCAGTGGGATGAGGGGATTGGTCTTGTTAGTCTGAGTCCCAGAAAAAAATCCCTATGCTTTAATTTAAATCTCCTCTTCAAGGACTGAGAGAGTCTGTTACTGTATGTGGAGTCCAATTGCGCCTCTAAGGATCGTATCGCCTAAGAACTAGCGCCAGGCGTCCCTATCCACTCTGTTATGACACGTTTAACTAAGTTATATCAGCCGAACTTTCGCCAGTTATCTACCAACACTGCCTTACAATTATGAGTGACCTGTAGTCACTCCACAAATCTGGAATATATGATTTAGTTATTAATGTGCGTTGGTAATAAATAACTCACGGCTTAAATCCATTAGCAAATGATATTTAGAGAGTTATTTCCAGAGACTGTGAGTTGCATGTGTTCTGTGTGCTGAACTTCCATCAGTGGCGTCACTGGGCTCGCAGTGTAGAGGCGTATTTATGAAAAAGAATTGATTCATAAACTTTAATTGCAATATTCAAGTTTAAATGATAAGCAGTTCTAAGATACGCATGATACACGCTACAAAGCTCTAGAGCCTCCCAGGTGATGTGGCGTCACCATAATGAGTAAGAACATTATTATACCGACGGTGAGAACAATACCTGTCGTTGTAAGGGAGACTCAGTCAACACCGTCGATGCTATTTTTGTTGTCTTGGGCTTAAACACACTAGCTAGCTGTTCTTACCAAAGGTTTGGTCTTGACCGAGTCTCCCAACGACTTGTTATAGTAGAAACAGTAACGGAGGCATCGGTCGACTGTACAATACGCCTACCAGTTAAAATGAAGACCAAAAAGTACCTCTCTTATGTCATGATATGATATGATGGGATATATATCTGTGCCAAAAAGTTAACAAACTACAAACAGATAGACGCAGATGATGGTTGGTAAGTACACAACAGAGGCCAGCCGAGGAAACCCAGACGAAAGGTTCATCTTTGGTCACGTAGGATAGCCAGAGATAACAAACTCGACAAAATTCCTGCTATCTTCAGACATTTGAAGTCATTAGTTCATCCACCAGTAATAAACATCATCTAAATATCCTCCCTACGCTCGTTAAACATCGAAAGTAATCGAGGCATACATAACCCCATCCTTGTGACGAAGAATTTGTTAAGACACGGTATGTCTACATAGACCTATGGTAACGTCGAGGTGGTGTATTATAGACCTATGGTAACGTCGAGGTGGTGTATTATAGACCTATGGTAACGTCGAGGTGGTGTATTATAGACCTATGGTAACGTCGAGGTGGTGTATTATAGACCTATGGTAACGTCGAGGTGGTGTATTATAGACCTATGGTAACGTCGAGGTGGTGTATTATAGTATCTGGTGAACGGTAAGGAACTGAAAATTAATTCAGTAGTTAGATTAACCCACATGTACCATCCTAAAGTACGTTCATTAATATCTATTTTTGTGTCATTCATGTATTTTTAAAGCTCTATCTTGCCATATCACCTCGGTGAATTCTTTGTTTTTTCTATCATTTACTTTGAAAATTTACCATCGCATCCTCAGCCAAAGAATAATCGTCTCTCTCCCCCTTCATTCTTATTATTACTTATTATTTTATCGATGAAAAAAAACATTAACATCAAAATTTTGCTTTGTTCTCCACGTTCTACGGAACATTGTTGTAGACGAGTTACATTCGCCCCGCGGGAAATAACGAGGCTGGGAATGTGTGTGCGTGTCGAGGCTCTTGTCCCCTATCACCCTCTATCTCGTCTCCTTGTGATTAGTTGGCTCTCGTATCTGCTGCTGTAGCGCAGGTTTTACGCATATGTATACTGTTATTGGTATCTCCATTTCTACTCTAAATGATCTGTCTATTTATGTTTCTATCTCTCTATGTGCATATAGATAAGTAATTAACAGAGTGGGTAAATAGAGAGATGATTAGGTAGAGAACTAGAGTTGCAGGTGTATAAACAGGTGAAGAGAGATTACTAGATCAGCAGATATGTAAAGACATATAACGATGAACAGAGAAACGACAGAAAGAGAAATAGACACAGAGAGACAGATAAATGGAGAGATACAATTAAATAAACTTGCAGGTGTTGATGACAGGATAGGAAATATATATACAAAGTGAAACTAATTTCCCACTATAAGTGTGGATGATGGCAGTTCGGTGGATCCTGACTTCCACAGACAACACGGAAATGGTAGAGAGGACACGTGGTTTTATACACAAAAGCTTACAGTGAGACCTCCCCGACACACTGCAGGAATTTAACGTAATTACATTAACGGTATTCTAGTTTTCAGTAATTTTCAGTTTCTTATGCAAGTTTACCGACTTTGGGATTGAAAATATCATTGAGTGGTCAACATTCCCCCGTGGATATAATCCCAATTAGAATGATAAACGTTGAAATATTTCGGAGTTTGTTGATATTAAAGATTAAAATTCCCTTTGAATCAATAAACAGTGATACTAGTTAGGGTGTATATACTGTATGTCAGAGGGAAAAATCTTTTTGTATTAATAAACAATCAGATATCTCAACTTAGGTTAATGGCAGAGCCTTTGGTTCGATGAAATTTGAAAAGTCTTTGCACTGATTTATATCTAAGGAAAATACTCCCATTTTGGCCTGATAAACATTGAGGCATTTTTGTGCGAAATTATGCTAAAGGGAAAAATAATAATTAAGATTTTGGTGATTTCACTTCATTGAGAAAATCCCTTTTGGATTAAAATACGCATTACGATATTTCAATCCTAATTTTTGTTCATCGATATATCCCTTCTGGCAACACGTGTTTGGTGTCTTGACTGTCTTGACTCGTCGTGATCTGGTCCACGTATACCTGAGGTCCCCGTCTACACGTCGTCCCCTTCAATGGTTGTGCCGTAGTTGGTGACTGTCGTGTTCCCATCAGCCATACTCGATTTCATGTACTGAAAATTTTAAAAAGAACAAGGACCAGATTACCTTACTGTAGCTCACCAGGAGATCCTTCTAAAAATCAACTGACACATAATCAAAATAAGGTTAAAGTTTTAAGTTAGGTGGGTAATGAAGCCTTGTGAAATGATGCTATATTGTTAACAAGTTATTTATTTTTTATTATATGTAATCGCTTTAGGCATCATAATTCCACTTACAATGAGAACAGTATATTGAAGTATAATGCTTCATTGGTCATACCTACAGTATATGTGTAAGGAGTAAAACTGGGAGGGTGAGGGAGGGTAACGTAAGACTGGCTGGCGCGGGGAGGGTGTAGTACTTACATTAACAGCAAACATACAGTCACAATGCAGAACTGAATGCAGTACGTGCAGACCGTGCACACACACACATTATATATATATATTACATCGAATAAACAATACATATTGGTCAAGAACTTCAGAAGGTGGTGTCACTGTGCAGGCAAATGACCAAAGCAACACAACATCTGATTGTTATACGTGCTGAAAACCTTTAACACTGAATAATAATAATAATAATAATAATAATAATAATAATAATAATAATAATAATAATTATTATAAATGTGAGTTCTCCTTGATTAAATAGTAAAATGGAGATGAATCAATGTAAGTTTAACCATCTTTAATAGAAGATAATGTGGCTATTTTTGTGTATCCCAAACTACACAACTGCAATGTAAAATACAATAGTTGTCACGGTAAGGATTTGTGAGAGTTCGATCGGGGCTAGTGTGACATTGCGCTGGTCAGTTGTAGATATATATATTTTTTTCTTTTTACCAATCCAGACAGTTGGTGTTGGCTGTAAATAAATGATGTGTGATATCACGTCAGTGTGGTGTTGCTAGATAGGGCTATGTCATATTTTAACCAAGATAGACTAGCGATGTGGTGGTATAGGGTAAGTGATGTTTAGAGGGTAATGTTGGACAGAACTAAGTGATGTTTTTGATCACGTCAAACTTGTGATATTAGACATCACTATATGTGATATTTTGACTACACCAGGTTAGTGATATTGCATAATTACAACTGAGTGATAATATAATTAAGCTAGGCTTGCCGTGTTGAGCATTGCTAAGTGATATTTTGACCACGCCTGATTGGTAAGGCTGCTTCGTGTTTGAGACCTGTGCACAACATGCATCAGAATCTTAAACAAGTGTTTGCTTTACACAGAAAAATGTGCACAAATGTTTGAGACTGGGAAGATGTTTGCTCACATGAAGCTCAAAAAGATGACACTTATTGCACGGATAAAACACCATCTATGAGATCAAAATAAAACAGTAAATTATATGCTTTATGATATTCAAGTCCAGTAAATCAGAGGCACTTTAGCCAATTACTCTCTCTACTTAAAACACAATACCCATGTATTCGTATCATATCTTGCAATTACATGTTGAGCAAATAACTTCCATTCTTGACACAGAGTAAAATCTACAGTCCTACCTTAATCATGTGAAGCAGTTGGACATATACTAGGTTGTCCGTTTAGCGTGTCCATCTAGAATGTGGCATGCAGTAGAAAATGAAGGATGGGTTGAGCAGTAAAAAACAGGGGGAGGGACTCACTTGTCAAAAACCAAGATGGGTTAAGTTGTACAATTGTAAGAGTTGAAAGAGTTGGACAGCGTGAATGGTCATTGAGTCAAGGGGAAGTGAATGGAGATAGACTTAAGGTGTAGAAGAAAACGTAAAAAATATTCAGAAAAATTAGAAGAAAAAAAAGGAAAAACAAGTGAGATTTAGTCGAGCATTCAAGACCAGTTAGGGGTAGATTGAGTCATAGAAAACGTAAATAATTTGAGTAACAGAAAATGAGAAGAAATATATCAATACAGTAGCACGCAGGACTGTGATGTTATTTAAAGATCTTCGACAATAACATCCATAATAATAAAGGCATCAAACACACGAATTCAACGAGTAATGGTAATCATGAAAAAACGCAATAAATATCAGATATGTGAAGACAAATAACAACTCAGGGAAGCTACGATACATCAATGAAAAATCGGACTAGAAATTATCAGATAACGTAAACATATACTGCAGTGATGAACGAGGACATATCAAAGTGATAATCAAGTGACAAGAATAAAGAACAGGATATAAGAGATGATAACTAAAAAAGAATGAATAGGGATAAAGGGACTATGATATGAAAGACGTACAGTAAGAGACATAGGAGGAGAGTTAAGTATAATTGTGGAAAGAGATGATAGGGAGATTCTACAACAGAACATGAAAGCAAGAAGTAAAAAGGAAAGTAATGAGAGAAGAAAATGGGGAGAACAGCAAAGGGAAAGAATAGGTACAACAAAAAATATGAATAAATAAGACCAAAAGCTAAGAAATTACTACAGGGATATGAACAGGGAAATAACGATAGGAGAAAGAATAGACCAAATAGCTAAGTAATACAGGAGAAGAGGGATAGGTTACCCAACATGAAGTAGGGAGGGCGTGAACAGCAGGGGTGGGGTTCAACATCAGAAAACGAGAATGAGCTGAACACCATAGAACCAAGTCGGGTGGAGCATGAGACAGCTGGAAGAGACGAGTGTTAGCCAAGGATCACGCACAGTAAGAAGGTCACAGGGGGAAGAAGGATAATTATCAAAAACAAACAGACGAACACACACACACACACATACACACACATAAATATATTTCAAAGATGGGGAGGTTAGCACATACACACATACAGAAAAAGGGGGTTTTGGTAGAGACAATTAGCATAGATTCAGATACATTTACATACACAGAGAGGTTTATAGAAGGAGAAAGCTGAGACAACATACACGTCCACATTCATTTAAAGAGGCAGATAATTAGACGCTAGCATATGTTAGAAAACGTATTCACGCATTACCAAACACAAATCCTTCCATGTTTGTTCATAGGGTATAAACACACTCACATCCACCCTTGCCTGCATACACAAAACCATACATACGGAGAGTGAGTGAGTGAGTCAGTGAGCGATTAAGTGAGTTAGTGAAAGAGAAAAATTGAGAGAAAGAAAAACGCTTTAGACCAGTAGACAAGCAGACACGTGGAGAGAAGGAATTCAATAAATAGTTACGCTTAGAAATATTAAATGACATACATACAGGCAGACACAGTGTAGTTATATACAGTATTTATATAAGCGACGTTCATTCTGCAGCTAGTGACTAACAGATCATTGTCCATCAAGACTCAAGGGATGGGTCAACTATACTATGTTCATCCTCCAGGAGCTACATGTTGTTATATTCTTGTGTCCACTAGTTATTAGCATGAATATTATTAGTGAGTACGTTTATAGTTCAATAATAATACAAATATCAGTGTCTACAATACAACCTTACACTACACAATAATGATGTAGTTTTCTTATGTATTAGACAAAAAATTAATAGAGTAATTAATTATTAAATCGACTTGATACATAAAGAACCTATGATGTAAATTACCTGGAAACTAAAGGTTATAAAGATTTTCTGGCTAAGGACATCTGACGGTAGAAAGAATTATTTTAAGTTCATGATCCATTATTATTATTATTATTATTAAACACATATTTCTATAACAGCTTCAAAAAGTTCTTAGCCGTTTGATTTAATTATTTAAAACTGTCAGGATACCATCATTAAAGTACTACGTGTTATTATCATTAAACTTTATATGTAATGTATATACAGTATATATATATATATATATATATATATATATATATATATATATATATATATATATATATATATATATATATATATATATATATATATATATATATATATATATATATATATATATACTGTATATACGTCGTATATACAAGTATATATAATACCAATGGAGGGGATGAGTTTGTCTTATACTAGCATAATTATTTTACAAGAGTGTAATATAATCATACATCAATTATCAAAATAATAAGTATTTCTCTATGAGGTTTACAACCTGTTGAATTTCCTAATGAGTGACTTAACATGTGGCGTTGTGAGGTGTTGTGGTACCTGAAGTACTGTATATTGGCTGAGACTACCCGTACATTGTTTTATCTGCATATATATATATATATATATATATATATATATATATATATATATATATATATATATATATATATATATATATATATATATATATATATATATATATAATCTGAATCGCATACATATTGAATGGACACTGGACAAGAATTATACCTTTTATAATATTGAATCATAAATGAACCTCGACTCCGATGGACGGTATTCTTAACATCTTGGGGAACAATTTGTTTTCTATACAAAATTAACGGTGTGAGGGAGATGTCGAAACACTTCAAGAATATAATAATTGTTTTCACCTTAATCAGTGTCTATCAGTAGATAACACCTGAGATTTGTTGTGATGTATTATAGATATAAACTTTTTATATTATTTCATCAGAAAAAATGCAATACATATGTACTTATGTTTTCTGAAACAAAGAGACAAACTTCACACATGGGTGTAGGGGACTGATGCGAGGTATCGTACTATTGAGTATATGCAGTGTAATGTCTACCAGCACACTGTACAGTAAATTTATCTTCATCATGTCAATCATCTGCTATGGAAGGCTGGCTGAAATCATCCCGCCAATACTCTTTCTCAATAGGAAGTGCAGGTTTACACAATGTGGTGGGGTGTAACAAACTAATGATGCACTCTATATAAAAACACTTTTTCTTTACCATACTAATATGCTTCAAGAGAAAGTTACCTGTGATTCATTACAGGTAACTTGAGTATAAGATGTAGTGCCTCTTTCAGACTGGTACAAAACTCAAGCTCTACAGGTCTTTGCTTTATTTACTGGTTTGAAACATATACTTGGTTGTTTAGATATACTGGAAAATTAAGTTCTCAAAGTAAATATACAAATGGAAGGAGTCATTGTGAGGTGAGTGTGACTGTTGGTAGCTACACACACACACACACACACACACACACACACACAAACACACACACACACACACACACGCACACACACTCACACACAAATACACACACACAATTTACTACTACTACGACTTTGTGGTCATTATGAGTTGAGTATGACGATCATCCAGTGATTGTACTTTGAGATGAATTTATTATGGGACCTCTTCGCTGTGAGCTCTGAGGCGGCTGGAGAGGCCGATTCGGGATCAACAGAGCGGTCCACAGATGTTACACACGTGAAGGGGTACAGGTATGAGGAAGTGGCGGCGGCCTTGTCTTTCAGGTGCTGGCGCTTGTTTTCCTTCTTGCGCGGTGCTTCCCCAAACATTATGGGGTTGCATGAGTCGATTTGGAACTTTGTCATGTTCGTCTTAAAGCTATCCTTATATCTTTTGTGTTGCCCGCCCGCATGACGAGTGAAATTCTTTAGATGACAGTAGACTAACTGCTTTAGCAGTCTACTGTCGAACGTAGTCGTTTATAGGAAATGGCAGCGTCCTGCTGCAGTTGTCACAGTCTGATTTGTCTTCCTTGGTCTTTGAGGTCTTGAAGGATTTCATCATCTTCCCATATATTCTCCAGAAGAGAATGTAAACAGCTGGTCAGTAGGGGTCCTCCTGCTTTATAGACCTCTCCCGGGATTCATCTGATTGATGTCAGTGGCTTCCTCGTCAGGGATGGAGGGTTGTCGAGGTGGACCAGCTTCGGGTGCTGAGGGACCTGCTAGGTAGTCAGAACATCCACATCGGTGTTTCGGTTGAGCAGGGAATGGTAGTGCTCTTTCCACCGCTGACAGATGCTGTCTTGGTTACCGTCGAATGAGCAGAGGAGGGCCTCGCCGTTTGTAGTTGGGTCATAAATTGCTTTGGTGGAGTTGAAAAATTCACGCCTTTAGTGTCGACCCACAAACTTTGGCGTTTCACGTGATTTTTTTAGTCTACTATTCGTTTTTCATTTCTCTAAATTTCCACTGAACCATTGCTTTCTGCTGGCGGAAAATAACAGCTTTCGACAGAGACTGATAGTTGTTTTTCTCCACTCAATGAGGGCAGCGCATTTGTCAGAGAGAGGAGAACCTTGATTTCCTGCTCGGATTCGTGTTATTAGTTGTCGGATTGTTCATCAGCACCTCGTCGATCTACTCTCTGAAGGTGTGTTCCACACTCCTGATCCTCAAATCGCTTGGTGTTAAACCCGTTTCTAGTGGCTTGTTGCCTTCACAGTTTTGGGGCGACGAGAAAAGAAAAGTTTGGTAATAACGAGCAGGTGAGCTGTGTCACAGTAGTCTAAGCCACGTATAGCTCTGGTGATGAGGACATCTCGGAGATCTCTTTCTCTGACAATGATGTAGTCAATGAGATGCCAATGTTTGGATCGTGGGTGTTGCCTACTCCGTTTCTCCCTATGGTCCCCTGCCATAAGTTACCATCTTTGCCAACTCTGGAATTGAAGTAACATAAGAGCACAACTTTATCTTCTCTGGGGATAGAGGTTAGCAGTCTGTCAAGGTCGACGTAAAAGATTTATTAATATCATCTGCATCTAGTATTGGGGCGTATGCACTGATGAAAGTAAACGTGAAGTAAGTCATTCGGCCGGATTTAGAATGCCATGAGGTGTTCGTTGACCCCAAAAGGCATTTAGGCTAGCCTGTGCACAATAGATTGGGGAATGGTGAAGCCAACTCCGTATATGCGATTTCTCTCCGTAGAGGGCTTACCATTCCAGAAGAAGGTATAGTGTGATCCCTGTTCTGTGAGTCTTCCCTCGTATGGGAACCTGGACTCACTTTTGGCTACTATATTAGTGTTGCATCTTGACAGCTCTTTTGTCACAAGGACTGTTCGTCTCTGAAGACACTCACTTGTGCTAAAATCCAAAAAAAGTCCTGGCATTCCATGAACGAACAAGGTCAGAATGGCTCCTGAAAAGGGTGACGCAGTCGCACTATTGCCTTGACCACAGTGCATAAACGACTATATCATCTGCGCCATCCATGTGCCGAGTTGTGACTAGGGACTCCTGGCAGTCATATCTGCCTGTCTCCGTCGCTACTCATTTGGTATTTTTTTTTTTTAGGTTTGTCTTCACACTATCTTTATACCTCTACCGTTGTCCGCCAACGTTACCTTTACCATTCATTAGGTGACTGTAAAGTAGCTGCTTTGGCAGTCTACTGTCGTCCATGCGGGTAACATGGCCAGTCCAACATAGATCTTCATGGATAATGGTAGCCTCGATGTACTGTACCTACAACTGGTGTAAGCAAAAATAATGGCATTTGTTCTCTTGTCTTCCCAACGAACTCGGAGGATGGAACGTAGACAACGTTGGTGAAAGTTTTCAAGTGCCTTGAGGTGCCTCCTGTATGTGTTCCATGTCTCGCTGCCACACAGCAGGGTAGGGGAGATCACTGCTCGATACACGTGCAGCTTTGTAGGTAATTTCAGCTCCCTACAGATGAAGACACGGATGTGCAGTCTGCCAAAGCCTTGATACACACATTGAATCCGATGTTGGATCTCTTCATGAAAGTCCGTTATGATGGACAGGTGGGAGTCAAGGTATGGGGAGCGGTTTAACATTGGAGAGGGTATTACCGTTAAGTGGCATCTTTTTTTTCTACTATGTATATAGTTTTAGTTAGAAGATATAGATATAGATAGATACTTGAGAGTTGTGTACTAATTTAAGAAAGGCACATAATTTCACTTAACAATGGGAAATTCCCTATCCGAATTTGTTACTAATCCTTTTCAATTACCTAAAAAAATAAGATTTGTGGAAGATTATTTTGAAATTAGGGGCACCCTGAGAGATAATCTGAGTCTTGGGGGATATTCAGAAAAACCGACTGCAACCACACATCTTGGCTCCCCGTTTTCCTGATCCGATGGTGCAGGTATTTTCAACAACTGGGGAGAAGAAGAGTTGCAATGGATTACCGATAGCCCAGTTTGTTAGGTTTCATCTTATCAACCTGTCCATCTAGCATTGCTTCCATCCGTCGGTGTAGTTTCTCGGTTCCTGTGTAGGTTTCCTGTTACTCCTATTTCATTGCTTGGGTCTTATTAGAGCTCTGTAAGCATGTGTTGCCGTAAACTGTTAACTGCAGGGGCTGCTGAGGAATATAACCACAAGGCAGTGGTAGCCATGCACTCACCTGACCACCCTAGCCCACCCATAACTTACACACACACACACACACTAGGGACTAGGAAACAGTACGTCAGTCCGAACACTAAATCAAGAAGGTGAGTCTTCTTATCTAGATGGAGCTCGTAAGGTGTCTCCATAATGTAGCTTTAACTACGAGTGTTGCCTTGTTTACATCATCTTGTCTTGAATCACTTCTTCCATCTGTACATGAGAAATTACCCTTTCTCTAGTCTTTCACATACCTGATAGTCCAGTCTTGTTTATAAATTATCCTCTAATTTAATCTACATTTGTGTTTTGTAATTTTTTCTTCTGAGACTGAACCGTGATAAGAATGTTCTAATAAACCTAATCACCACTTTGTAGATCCAATCTCCATGTCGTCCTTCTCTTGTTTCTTCTGTGTGTACACCAGCGAACCCTCTTCCAACCATCTGTAACTTCAAGACTTATGGGTTATAAGCACGTCTGCCTCACGTATGTTTTGGTCTCATATATTTGCTGTGATGTGTGATTCTATCTTTCTATAACTTGCTGTGTCTTTCTGTCTGTGTCATGATTTGTGAGTCTGTCTATGTCTTGGTATATGAGTTTGTCTGTGCCTTGGTGTATATGTCTGTCTGTGCCTTGGTGTGTGAGTCTGTCTGTGTCGTGATTTGTGAGTCTGTCTATGTCTTGCTGTGTATGTCTGTCTATGTCTTGGTATATGAATCTGTCTGTGCCTTGGTATATAAGTCTGTCCGTGCCCTGATGTGTGATTCTGTCTGTGTCGTGATTTATGAATCTTTCTGTGCCTTGCTGTATGATTCTCTCTGTGTCCTGGTATATGATTCTTCCTGTGTCCTGGTGTATAAGTGCGTCTGTGTTAAGGTGTGTGAGTCTGGGCGTCTCAGGGAGGTTGACGAGTTCCTCGGGTTGACGATCCCCCCTTACCGAGAAAGTGGTGCCAACGTAAGGGTGAGATCCTCCGCGCATCAGTTTGTGCTGACTCCACTTTTTCTTGAAGATACCAAGAACCTGCCGGAAATCTAGAGTGAGACTATAGTGGGAAAATGTATATATCTTATAATTAATAGGCGATTAACCGAACATTTTATCAACGAGAAAGTAAAAAGTAAATTTTTTTCTTATTGCAGGGATAATATTGTAACATTTGGAAAGAAGGAGAGTGGAAGATGAGAGAGAGAGAGAGAGAGAGAGAGAGAGAGAGAGAGAGAGAGAGAGAGAGAGAGAGAGAGTCAACCAAAGCAACAGGTAACAAACTGTACAGCAAGCCACACAAACGCATTAAGGGAATTAAGTAAAATATAGTACATAGTAATATATATATATATATATATATATATATATATATATATATATATATATATATATATATATATATATATATATATATATATATATATATTTATATATATAAGCGTGTGTAAGCAGTAATACATTACATTTTAATTATGAATGAAATTTCGGTGCCAGTAGAATAAAACTAGTGTCTTGCAATATCACTAATTATTCTCCTAAAATAATTTAAAATTGTAGAAAATTAAAGTAAAATTTAACAATCTCCATAACATACAGCTGCATACAGTGTCCTAAACTCAATACTTCAGAAGCAACACAGTTCTACAGTAAACTACAAAATCTTAGGTTACGGTACAGTAATGCAGGGATTATGGTACAGAGAAACAGTGATTATGGTACAGTAATGCAGTGATTATGGTTTATTAATACAGGGATTATGACGCTAAGCAAAAATAGAAGTTATGTAAATACACAGTCGGCATAAACGAACTTAAATAATAGGAAGTAAATAATAATAATAATAATAATAATAATAATAATAATAATAATAATAATAATAATAATAATAATAATAATAATAATAATAATAATAATAATAATAATAATAATAATAATAATAATGTCATATATTGATAAAGGAAATTATTCTTTCACATTTTCTAACGTGCATTGTAGGGTTATTAATGTATCGTCTGGTACCATCATGGTTTCTTTCGATGTCACTTTCAAAATTCATAATACACGTTTCAGATAAAAGTGGTCCAATAACCCACCATATTCTGCCCAAATAATGTGACCAGAGATTAGTATCGTATCAATTTTTTGCTTAGGCTTTTCAGTTAACTTTCTCTACAGGTGACGACACAAACGGCTGAGAGGACGGTGTGTGTCTGTGTAGTGATTATTTTTACCATATATGTATAAAATGAATCATTCTATGCATAAAGTCTTTAAGTTAATACACGGGGCAAAACTAGTGAGACGGCTGCAACCTGTGTATAACCCAAGTCCAATAATGACTTACGGGATGAAAGACCTAATAACTTTCTCGTCACCAAACTGAGAGCCGTCAACACCGCCCCTGACACGCACTCCACCCACAAGGTGAGTCTTTCCATATCTACTGCCCCCATTGTGTGGCATGAAAGTCAACAAATACGTCCCTTCAATGCATGGTGTGTGCTGGATATACTTGTATTGACAGGGATACATACAGCTGAGGTATAGTATTATCAGTTAGCTAGTCGTACCTACAGTAGAATGAGATAGTTTCATAATAAGAGTGAATATGAGAAATCACATCTACATGTAACGTGCGCTTGTTGTCTCTAGCATTACAGCGTCGGGAGCAACAGGAGCACCCAGGGCCGCCCTCAGTTGTCCCACAGTGTTAGCTCAGCGGAGTAAGTCAACAGATTCAAGAGAGAGCAGGACAAGCTTCACAGGGGTTAGACAGGAAAAACAAAGTATGGTTGCTAAGATTTTAGCTTAAAGGTAACTTAAGAGAAAGTTTTACGCTTTCTAGGAATTCAAATATTTCCTAATTTTACATAAAAATATTTTACCTTTCTAACATATGAAAACAAATACGATTTTAGTTTATACATTCGTTTTTACTGGGTAATACAAGAAGGACATACATGTGAGTGCTAATGGACTCTTGGCTCTCCCTTAGAATGCAACGCCCGTTAAGGTAATGGGCGCTAGATAAGGGTGACCGCACCCGTCTGTAATTTAGCTATCACCTGGAAAGAGACAGAGGAAAGGGTTATATAGACAGAAACATTATAAAGGAGACATTTAAAAGAGAAAGTGACCATGGAAGTGGAAATTTTAGATTTAAAAAAGTAGGAGATAAAAGTATTAAAAGTAGAAATAATTGCCTTTACTGAAATTATGTGGTAACCGGTCACCATAACAGTATAAAGAAGGCCCGTTTTTATAGATAGATACATAGAACATAACAAATAAAAATAGAAATTAGATTTAGGTAGAATTCAGTAAAAGAATATTAAAAACAACTAATGATTATTAAGAAGCATTAGCCTGTACACCATAAGAGAGTTCGACATACGGTGCAATACAGTACAGTTGATTCTCTTAAGCCTCTTCTCGACACAATATAGAACTATATTCTTTCCATGCCAACCTGACCCGTAAGTCACGCCCCTCTTCTATACTAATAGCTGATTGGTTCATAGAAAATTCAAAAACAAATATGTTCACAAAAGGTAAGCAGACCTTTTATTATCTAAAATAGTGCTAAATATATGGACTATCAAAATGCAAAGGATTTCAAGGCATTAGCACTATAGAGAGGATGTTACCAACTCCTCAGTTAGGTACCAAGTGTGTCTACCGAGTGCCACACGTGCTTTGTCAACTATTGTCGCGTCATATGGGACAAATTCAGCCAAGGTTTTGACCAAATTCAAGTCATTCAGTGGCGCACTTGCTGGAACGGGGCAAACAATCCACCATGGGACATAAACAGCGAGTGTGAACACACCAAACCGTTCTGACTTGCTGATTTGACTTTTAGTCACAACCTCGGCTTTGGGAACTGCTCTTTGATCTGGCCTGACAAAAGAACAATCTTGAGGGTATAGAGCGGTTTAGCCATCCACCTTGTTTTGTGAAGTGCGCCGGGGTAGACCATCGTGAAGTTCACTGGCTCGGATCCTTTAGTTACAAGCAGCAGACAAAGCTCTACCAGCTCCTTGTAGTCGCCACGTGTAAATGGTTGGGCTAGAGATTAACGGAAGAAGTCAGCCATCTCCTGCTGGCGCTCCTCAAACACTCCAGGCATTGCAGGGTAGTAGTAGTAGTATTTCTTTTTTTCATTGTACGTCAGTTGAGAGAAATGGGTCTTGAACCCAGAACTGCAATTATTGGGATTATTGTATTTCGTACTAATCTATAATATTGTTTTAGGGGTATTAAGATTGATATGATCGATCATTTGCTTGGTGTTAGTATATCTTATAAGTCTAATAAAAGAAATTCCACTAAATTTGTTCATTAGATAATAATATTCCTTGTTATTTTGTAAAGCCGACGGTGCTAGCTCAAACATGCACCGATCTCCAAGAAAATTTACAGGGGTGTTTCCTAGATAAATACACAACACTAAAACTTTGAACAGCATTGTAGGACCATTTTTTTATTTTTGGAGGGCAACGGTCACACCCTAATATATATATATATATATATATATATATATATATATATATATATATATATATATATATATATATATATATATATATATATATATATATATATATATATATATATATATATATATATATATATATATATATATATATATATATGTGTGTGTGTGTGTGTGTGTGTGTATGTGAAAGTATATGGAATATTTTACTTCGTGTTATTAAGATTCGGTGTTTTAAAGGAGATTAACTTGTGTACTGTTTGTCGAGGGAGGCCACCAAAAGCTTTGAAGGTGAGGGTGAGGCAAGTTGTGTAAATTTATAAAGTTAATGATAGAAAGAGGCTTATAAAGAGGTAGCTTTTCAATTCAATTTAAAATATGACCAAATTATATTAAACCAAAAATTATTTTTAAGTGTATGAATATTGTAAGAATTATGAAATAATTATACTAATATATTTTTTAATAATAGCAATAAAAATTTAGTAAGGATATAGTAAACAATTAATACTACTGTACTACAGTACAAGTGAAGGGTTAATTACTTTCAGAAGGAAATCTACTTCAAGCTATCTTGCCTTTCAGTTAGTAGTAGTTATAAGAACATATTAATTATGTGTAATTCCAATATTATAAAGTCTGAATCGGACAACAATATATAAACACGAATAGCAAAACATTTTTCCTTCACGAGAATGACTGTCGAACAACATTCTCTGGAAGGATTATTGAGTCAATATGCACACAAACAACGCAGGCGGGGCCAAAACCAAAATTTGACGAGCAAGAAGAATTAAGTTGCAAGCGCAAGCAAGCAGGTGAGTGTGACTACGAAGGCTGGGGATGCTGTACACGGAGGGTGACATTCTTCAGGAACCACTTTACCTCTCCATTGAAGAAGCAGAAGAGCAGCGAAACACCCAGACCCTGAAGGAGATCGAGAAGGGTTGAGATCTGATCCCTGTGTCTGTATCCACGTAGATATTTGGCATATATATACATATATGTATATATATATACACTGTATATGTATATATATACCTGTATACAGTATATATATATATATATATATATATATATATATATATATATATATATATATATATATATATATATATATATATATATATATATATATGTATATATATATATATATATATATATATATATATATATATATATATTTTTTATAAAAAACACACGTAAAGGGAAACACTGGTGCTCCAATGTTTTCCTTTTCCCGTGTGGTTTTTTATCAAGATGTATCTTTTTCCCGTTTCCATTGTTGATCTACATTAAATATATATATATGGATATGTGTGTGTGTGTGTGTTAAAACACACTCAGATGATATAAATGTACTGAAGAAAAAAATACTCGTCTGCATACATGTTTCGGTAAATCACTCACCCTTCTCACCACACAGCTGCTACAAACTAACTGAGACATGTAATGGACCTTAAATAAACAAGGCTCCAAGAAGAGTGGTTTTCTTCAATACATTTATATCACCTGATTGTGTTGTAACACACACATACACACACACACAAACATGCCAGCGCGCACGCATACACACATGAAAGGCTATTACAGTTACCTTCAGATCACCATAATAAAATATGTGCTGAAAACTGTAATGAATAGTGAATAACTACGTCAGTGAGCCAATAAACCAATTCAAAATAGACATTCACATGACCTTAGTTTCAGGGTAATTTACTCTACAAACTGAATGTCTTGTCTCACCTGGAGGGAGGCGGCGATGGCGGAGACGACGAGGTAGAAGCCCTCGGCTGGTGAACCCTTGGGGGGCCTGAAGGGGATGAGGATGTAGTGAAGGCCCAGCAGCGGAATGAGGATAAGTGTCGCGCGGACCGCCTGTAAGTCATTGAGAACTAAGTGAGCTTTCTCATCTCGAAAGGGACCGATATGGCCAACTCAACAGCAGAATTATATTGCATTATATAATTATGGTCATGATCATGAGGCGAGGATACATGCACATCTAGCAAGTTGGTGAAGCTATTATCATACCGGAACAGTCAGAATACATGCAAGCTTTTGTGATATCTCTTTGAAATATACTCCTGAACATGATTTTCCTGAATGCAACAGTAGCAGACATCACACCTCCCTCCTGACTTACAATATTATTGATCTTGTAACTGCTCCATAAATACTTTATTTCCTATGTGTGTGTATATGAACCTGTCTTGAGTGGATAGAAACATTGGCGGCATCCTTAGTGTTGAGACATAACTAAACTACTAAGATTAAACAAAATTGTACTCCAATCTTGCCAATTGAAGTTCATAAACGAAATCCACCTCCTCTTCTCTCTTCCTCCTCATTTTTTTTAGCTTCCTTCTTCATTTCCACTTCCTCAATCTTCTCAAATTTCTTTCCAGCGTCTTCCTCTTTCTAATTCGTCGCTTTTACCTCCTCCCTTCTCCATTGTGTTCCTCCTCATCCACTTCCTTTCGTGTTAGTCATTTCCGACTTCAGTGTCCTCCTCCTTTTATTTCCCCTCCCCCTCTTCCTTTTCTTCTCCTTCAATTCCTATCCTCATGTTCCTCACCATTTCCTTCCCTTTCTTCTTCTTCCTCTTTAATTTACTATTTTTCAACTTCCGCCTTCTCCTTCTCCTTTCCCTCATTCTTGGTATCTTCGCTGTCTTTCCCCTCCTTTACTCCAACACCTTATTCATCTCCCTTCTCCCTTCTACATTGCCATCCTCCTGTTCCCTCTCTTTGTCAACACCTGCATCCTCCTTCTCCACCTCATCTTCCTGTTTCCTAAGTTCTTTTTTTTTCGTTTTCCTCCATCCCCTTCCCATCGTCTTCTCGTCCTCCCCAGCATCTTCTTCCTCCATTCCTTAAACATCTTCCCCCTACTCATCCTTCATAGCATCTTCTTCCCTCTCCTCCTCCTTCCCCCCATCTTCCTTCTCTGCCTCTCCAGCCTAAACATCTTACTACAGCTCTTCCCCCCCCCCTCCATTCATAGTGTTTGATTCTTCTTATTCCTCCTCCTCCTCCTCCTCCTCCTCCTCCTCCATTATAGCGTTTTCTTCTTCCTCCTTCTCCCTCATTATAGGTATTGGGTAGTCTTGAGTAATTTGGTTTGTGGGAGGGTCGTGTCGCCCCCGGGGAACATCTTCATTGTCTCCGCTTGTCTACTGTTCGCCACATCTTGTTGAGTCTTCTCTTTACTGTTTATGTTTACCAGAATCTGTTTCTCTGTTGGTCTCTCTAACTCTGTTTCTCTTTCATCACCTTTTTGTGTTTCTTTATCTTTCTATTTCTGTCGAATTTTTATTTTATATAGAGTAAAAGAAGGAGGATTTAATTTATAATCAAACAGAGAAATAGATAAACACAATTTGCTCGAACCAAACTTCCAAAAACACTGAATGATGAACATCTTTATGCTTTAAAATTACAATCTATAATTCTAGTTTGACACCTACGTCTCATTATGAGTTTAAATGTCATTATTTGTCACGGCTGTCGCCTCACCTTAGAGGAGGTAATAATTTAATTTCCCACGTTTTACCTGAATAAGAAATGATCTACCCTCTTGAGAAACGCTGTGCCCACCTTATCTGTCTTTCAAATATCGCAGGTGTCAGTTGTTGACCTAACTAATGGATAAGGGGGGGGGGCACCCTTCTTGTGGTGTACTGTGTGGAGAAACACTTATCCTTTGGGTGGACTGGCTATCTTAGAGGAATGTTGACCCTATTGAAAGAATAGGGTTTGGCGTTGTTGGTACTTCCATCTTGTGAATGGATTTGATGTAAGGCCACTAACATGCCTAGTGTAATGGGCGCAGTAGGCGTAGGAACACTAACAGAAGGTACAGTGGGCGTAGGAACATTAACAATGGGGGCAGTAAATATGGAAAGACTCACCTTGCGGGTGGAGTGCGTATCAGGGGCGGTGTTGACGGCTCGCAGTTTGGTGACGAGAACCCTGACGATGTTGACGAGGAAGAAGAGATTGAGGAGCATAGACAACACCACAGGTACGTTCAGGATGTAGTTGTAGTTCCCGTCTTCCATCCAACAGCTGGAATCAGAGGTAGTAGCATTAGAGGTGTTCGGAGTATTACGAAAACCATCTGTATTTGGACGTATAAGAGGCATTGACTTAAGACACGAGGATATGAGAGGCATCTTATGAGATTTGAGGCGTTTAGCATGGAACACAGGGTCTGCAAGATATCCACTATGGTATCTATTATGTATTAACAGATGTAAACGGCCTCTAGTTTGAGATAAGAGAGGCTTGTCTGAAAAATATCAGGTGTGAGAATTAAGAGGGAGCTAATTCGAGACATTGGACCCGAGAGACATCTAACTTAGGATGAGATTGAGAGTACACGGGATTACAAGAGAGGAGAGATATTAGGTAAGTAAACATGGGTGATTCTTTCTATCCGCATTCACATCTGCAACGAATTCTTACCAAACAAAAACCCGTCATTCATCACCAAATACCATCAACCACACCATTTATTTAACCTTTGCAGCTCCCTCACACATATAACCACATCAAAAACTACATTTACTGCACTCGAGCGCACACACTCTAAACATCTACAGCTACTAGTCCCACCACCAACACATTCGTCTTCCAGTCCATGACCCACCGGCATAACTGAGGAATTCCTTTACAAAGTTCCAAACTTACTAAACACTCTGTTCATCGTCGGTGCCTCTACATGCTCCGTAGATAATGGTGAAGACGGCCGGGGCACCCCAGCCCAGCATGTAGAACCACTTCATAATCCTGTCCTCGGCGACGAAGGCAACGACGAGCAGGGTGTGCAGGTAGAGGCCCTCGCAGAACATCCAGAAATAGTTGGAGACTAGGAAATAGTGGAGGAAAACGTGCAGCACCTGACACCCAACCTGCGGGATGCCATATGTTATAAGTAAGGTTCAAAACATTGCTACTGATGAGGTTGACTCTGGTATGTTCATACCCATAAAAATATTATGTTCCCTGCGAACTGGACAGTTCTCTCTTGGCATGCGCTGATATATATATATATATATATATATATATATATATATATATATATATATATATATATATATATATATATATATATATATATATATATATATATATATATACTATTGTGTGTTGACCAAAACACCGTGTGGTGACCATAACACAATATGGTGACCATAACACTGTGTGATGGTCATTACCAAAACTATTCTTTAAGCGGTTGGTAAGAGCAGTACCATAACAAGTTTAAGTCCAAATAAAGATTAAGGTTTGCGTCACACCACCAAACACCATACATATTAACAAAAAGAAATTAGATGAAAAATACCGACATTTTGTAATATTCAACAAATGAATTAGAAAATGTTTACCCAAGCAGCACAAAATTAGAAAAATTGGGAAAGGAATCACTCAACGCCTTATTTTTGTATTATATGTCTGGATAAGGCAGTGTCATTAGTTCCTCCTTGCACAATGGAGGCGAAAAACAAAGGGGAATCGAGTCTTTTATTGGTGGACAGTTTTCATCGTGGTAATGCGATGCTGCCCACTACCCGACCCGTGATCCTCTGTGATCACGCCCACAAGGCTCGATATTATCGACGGCGTCAGTTGTTGGGGTGGCGGAAAGAAAGTCTTAAAGTTGGGTCTAGAATATCGTAAGTATATAGTTGAGGCGGCGAGTACAGCCTTAAAGCTGGGCTACTCTGTATTAGTGTACACCTTCCCTAAGAGCACTGAAGAGTCAAAGTGGGTGCCATAATCATACAGCACTGAATCCTAAACCTTCACTATACGCAAAGAGGCAGCGTGGCCGGCACTGTACTCGACCACTTTCACTTCTTCAGATGTATTGTTCGGAGCCCATATACTGTACTGCTTAGTGGACTCGGAGGCGAGTACTGTGTAAGCTCGGCCGCCACACCTCATTCCAGAACAGTGTTGTTACTAGAAAAGAAAAATATCAAAAGCTGTGTTCCTCTGTGATAATGTACAACCTCTCAAACAAAGATGGTACAGCTGGAATTGTATATGACCAGGTTTTAAAGTTGAGTTATTTGTAATAGCCCCTGTTTCATCAACAGAAAGATTATATAAATGGGTTAAATACATTTGATTTATATACTGATTCATCCCCTGTAACTTTCCACTGGATATGAGGTGACATGTTTAGAGCACGTGATAAGGCGTGCCCATGGGAAACCGCGTCAAATTATGCTGAGTAAAGGCATTACTCCCCTGCCTTTCTGGCCACCTAAAGCGGGCCCCAGTCCTTCTCTTAACACTCATAGCTACAGTGATTGAGTTACGGTTGATTTACACTCTGGAATTGTATCAACAGCAGTTCCTCAATAAAAGAAGAAACAGACAATTGGGTTTTGCTACTCTAACCCAATATAATATAAATGTACCAGCCTAGTTAACTTCGACAGAAACTATAGTTAACAGGCTATAACATATTCTGTCGTGGATATATATATATATATATATATATATATATATATATATATATATATATATATATATATATATATATATATATATATATATATGCAAGTAAATCACTGTAGGTGCGCGTGATCTAGGTATATGCTGATAACCACAAGGAAAGAAGAAAACACGAAGTTCCCAAGCGCTTTCGTGTAATTCACATCTTCAGGGGTGAGTACAGACTAGTGATAGCTCTAGTTATATGGTGTTGTCGATGTTTATACTGACTGAATAAGAAATGAATCTACAGTACAGTCACACTCACTTACGAATGTTCTTGAACACTAACTCCGTAAGGTAGGGTTAGGCTAATATTAGTTAGGTTAGATTAGGTTAGGTCTAATCTCGGGAGATGGCGACCGCTCTTCCTAGGTCTCGTCCCCTATAAGGATGTGTTGTGACTGTTTGCATTATCTAAGCTTTTAAGTGAGCTGGACCTGACCTGGTGTATGGCATGAACTGGTGTATGATTCTCAAATTGGAAGACTGACTTCTTGGTAACTATGTATGTTGGACATTGTCTTGGGTACTACGAGACCGTTCACATGTTACCCCATATCACCAGACCCCTGACATGTTCCCCCACACCACCATGTCCCTGACATGTTCCCCACATCACCAGGTCCCAAACATGTTCCCCACACCACCATGTCCCTGACATGTTCATCCCACACCACCAGGCCCCTGACATGTTCCCCACACCACCAGGTCCCTGACATGTTCATCCCACACACCAGGCCCCTGACATGTTCCCCACCACCAGGTCCCAGACATGACATGTTCCCCCACATGTTCCCCCACACCACCATGTCCCTGACATGTTCCCCACATCACCAGGTCCCAAACATGTTCCCCACCACCATGTCCCTGACCATCCCACCAGGCCCCTGACATGTTCCCCACACCACCAGGTCCCTGACATGTTCATCCCACACCACCAGGCCCCTGACATGTTCCCTGTCCCTGACATGTTCATCCCACCACCAGGCCCTGACATGTTCCCCACACCACCATGTCCCTGACATGTTCATCCCACACCACCAGGCCCCTGACCCCCACCACCAGGTCCCTGACATGTTCCCCACACCACCAGGTCCCTGACATGTTCATCCCACACCACCAGGCCCTGACATGTTCCCCACACACCACCAGGTCCCAGACATGTTCCCCACACCACCATGTCCCTGACATGTTCATCCCACACCACCATGTCCCTGACATGTTCCCCACACCACCCTGACATGTTCCCCACACCATGTCCCTGACATGTTCCCCACACCCCGACATGTTCCCCTACACCACCAGGCCCCTGATGTTCCCCACACCACCAGACCAGGCCCCTGACATGTTCCCCACACCACCCCTGACATGTTCTCCCACCACCAGGCCATGTTCTCCCCTGACATGTTTCCCCACACCCCCCAACATGTTCCCCACACACCACCATGCCCTGACATGTTCATCCCACACCAAGCCCCTGACATGTTCCCCACACCACCATGTCCCTGACATGTTCCCCACACCCCCACATGTTCATCCCACACCCACCAGGCCCTGACATGTTCCCCACACCACCATGTCCCTGACATGTTCCCCACACCCACCATGTCCCTGATGTTCCCCACACCACCATGTCCCTGACATGTTCCCCCCACCAGGTCCCAGACATGTTCCCCACACCATGTCCCTGACATGTTTCATCCCACACCACCAAGGACATGTTCCCCCAGGCCCCTGACATGTTCCCCACACCACCAGGACATGTTCCCAGACATGTTCCCCACACCACCAGGCCCCAGACATGTTCCTCTACACCACCAGGCCCCTGACATGTTCCCCACACCACCATGTCCCTGACATGTTCCCCACATCACCAGGTCCCAGACATGTTCCCCACACCACCATGTCCCTGACATGTTCCTCTACACCACCAGGCCCCTGACATGCCACCAGATCCCAGACAAGTTCCTCCAACACCACCATGCCCCTAACATGCTCCTCCCACACCACCTTCAGGACCTAGAAAACATAGAGACTCACCGTGTTGCTGAAGACGACGTCAACCCTCCCAACCACACACTCGAACCAAACTAACCACATGGCGTTGTTGATAATGAAGCTTACAAACAGGTTCTTATGAATGGTCACACGAGTGCACTTCAGGGATCTGTAATGAGAATACATACAAGTATTTTTTTGTTGAACTAATTTCAAGTACAAGTACAGGTGTATGGCACAGGTACTCTTGATTATTAGGTTTTCATGTTTTATATACAGTAGACACAGCGACACCATTGCTAACTTACTACATGGGAATAGAGAACATTAGTGTATTTTATATAAATATTTTTTCATATGACATGTATTAGGTGTACATGTGCATGCATACAGATATGAAAAGGTGTAAGTATAAGCGTAACATACACACACACACACTACAGTACATGCCTGACCACCGCAGGGTCGAGACCTATTCAGGCGCTGCTCTTGCTGAGCAGCGGCCCCCCTTGGGCATGTCGGCCCATTCCTGAATTCCCTCTCCCCGACCCATCCTCACCACCGGGATATCAACATAATCAAAAGTGATAATTTCGTTTCGGAAAGAAGTGGGATCAGTGTTGAACAGTGATGAACAGTGTTTAAGTCAGTGAATTCAGCACTAGACAATACCAGTGAAAGCCGTGACCCACCACTGAGATAAGCACCCCTGTGAACCATGACCACGTGTGGTCCTTCATATCAACACCCGAAGACGAGTTACTACACCACGTGAACACCACATCACCCGATGTCTCCATGACCACGTGAGGTCCTTCATATCAACACCCGAGGACGAGTTACTGCACCACGTGAACACCACACCACCCAATGTCTCCATGACCACATGAGGTCCTTCATATCAACACCCGAGGACGAATTACTGCACCACGTAACATAAGAAAAAAAGGAGTCTGCAATAGGCCGGTTGGCCTGTGCATGGCAGCTCCTGTCGAGAGTTACTACCACTCTCTATTATCCATGAATCCATCCAGCCTCCTTTTGAAACTTTCCAGCGTTCCCGCACTTACTACAAAGTTGCTAAGCTTGTTCCACTCGTCCACCACCCTATTTGTGAACCAGTTCCTTCCTATCTCCCTCCTAAACCTAAACTTATCCAACTTAAATCAGTTGCTCCGAGTCCTATCCTGCTCGGATATTATAAGAACTTTATCTATATCCCCTTTATTGATTTCTTTCACCCACTTAAATACTTCTATCATATCTCCCCACACTCTTCGTCTTTCTAGGGAATGCAAGTTTAGTTTCTTTAACCTATCCTGATATGGAAGGTTTCTAAGTCCCGGAATCATTTTCGTCATTCTTCGCTGCACCGACTCTAGTGAATTGATATCCATTCTATAATAAGGGCACCAGAACGGAACCGCATAATCGAGGTGAGGCCTGACTAGCGCAAGATATAGTTGCAATAAGACCTCTGCACTCTTATTACTTACACTTCTAGATATAAAACCCAATACTCTGTTTGCCTTATTTCGAACATTAACACACTGTTTTCTAGGCCGTAGGTCCGGACTTACAAGTACCCCTAAGTCTCTTTCACAAGTCGACTTCTCTAAGTTGATGTTGTTAAGGCTGTATACATTGACAGTATTTGTTCTTCCAATATTAAGTACGCTGCACTTGCTGGTGTTGATTTCATTTGTCATTTTTCAGACCACCCCTGCAGTTTATTTAGATCCTCCTGAAGTGCATTTGCATCCTGTGATGAATTTATCTGCCGCCCTATTTTGGTGTCATCCGCAAACTTGCTTATGTCACTGCTGATCCCAGTATCTAGATCGTTTATGTAGATTATGAACAAGAGTGGGCCTAGGACTGACCCCTGGGGAACCCCACGCGTTACACAGCCCCACTCAGATTTAACACCATCTACGCTGACCCTCTGCGTTCTATCGGTGAGCCATGATTTTATCCAATTTAAAACTTTCCCCTCGATACCTCTGATGCGGTACTCTGTCAAATGCTTTGCTAAAGTCTAAGTAAATAACATCGTAATTTTCGTCATTATCTACCACCTCGAAGACTTTCCTAAAAAACGTCAGCGGATTTGTTAGACAAGATTTTCCCTTTGTAAACCCATGTTGAGAGTCGTAAATTAATTTGCTTTTCTCTAAATGCGATCGGATGCTATCCACTATAATTGATTCAAGAAGTTTCCCCACTACTGACGTCAAACCGATCGGCTGGTAATTTGACGCTGATGCTCTGTCTCCCTTTTTGAATATGGGTACTACATTTGCCTGTTTCCACAAGTCTGGCACAACTCCGGTGTCTAATGATTTTGTTAATAAATTTACTAGGGGTCTGCAATCTGTTCCCTATACTCTTTCAAGACTCGAGGGAAATTTTCATCCGGCCCTGGGGATTTTGTCTTCTTTAGTTTATTTATCCTCTTAAGAACATCCTCTTTTCTGATAGTGATATTCTTTAATTTCTCTTCTTCCTTTCCCCTAAATATCAGTTCCACCTCTGGAATTTCCTCGGGAATTTCTTCTGTGAAAACTGATAAGAAGTAGCTGTTCAATGCTTTGCTTATTTCTTCACTGCCATTTATCACTTCTCCCCTCCCTGACTTTAAGGGCCCAACTTTGTCCTTGACCTTTGTCCTATACCTGGAAAAATCCCTTCGGATTCGCCTTGGATTCTCTTGCTATTCTGATTTCATAGTCTCTCTCTTTGCTTTCCTGACATTTTTCTTAACATTCCTAGATAGTTCATTATACCCTATTTGTGAGCTGCTCCTCCCCTCCCCTCCCCTCCCCTTCCTTCATATCAACACCCGAGGACGAGTTACTACACCACGTGAACAACACACCACCTGATGTTTCAATGGCCAGCCCAGGCCCGAACCATCAACTATATACTATAATATCTTGTATGTTCAATTCATGTTCCTTCTTCTTTCAGTTATGAAAGCTTTTGTTAAACCACCCACCTACCCCATGTCTTTGTATGTAATAAGTCATTTTTGTCCAATGTATATTTTCAACCTTTGGGCTGCAAACTTTTTCAATAAACCGTTTATTATTATTATTTACATATATGAGTATCTTCTCTACTTTTTCTCTCCCTCCTTCCTCTTACCACTTCCTCACCTCTACCAACTGCCTTTAAGCTCTTGCATTCACTTGATTTTAAACAACAATTTTGCGCTAAAATAGAGCAAATTCCCCGCCTGAAAACATCCAATTTCAGCCTCCGATACAGCGGGTGGGCGGCGACAACCTCCTCATCGCCACCACCTCCCCGACAACGACAATGGGCGGGGGCGGGGAGGGGGGGGGGGGTAGCTCTCACTCTCGAATAAACCCAGATTTTCAAGGATTTGTATGTTAGCTTTTTTTTTATCTAATGTTACTGTTATTGTTTTCATTTTCTTAAGTTTCAGATGTTAGAATGCTTTTTTCTTAGACTTGTTTTAAAATATTTGGAGGCCCATATTGATTTATTTCTCTCAAGTTGTTTCTCAGAAAATCACCATTTTTGTCTATAACTGGAAGATATGATTGCAAAAGTTTCTGTAAAGAGACAGACAGACAGACAGACAGACAGACAGACCTCAGAGACAAACGTAAGAAAAAGACGATATGCTGTATGTAGTGTAAGGAAGAGAGAAAGAGACAGCGAGTAACAAAATCCCAGAGAGATTAATGAAAGGAAAACGCCTGAGCTTCCAGAGCTTGGTGGTGGCGACGGCGCTCAATGAAGGGAACTGACGTGAAATTATGGTGGACCATCAGTTGTAATAAACAAAGAATGTAATTTCGGCTGTACATCAAACAGCATTATCCCGGAATCGTGTTATTACTGAAGAGAATATTCTAATATCTAATACTTTACAATATTCGTCACGTGTTAGCAAATACAACTCAGGTAGGGGAAGAATGACTTACTTGAAGAAGAAGAAGATGAAGAGGGAGATACAAAGAGCAACGAGGGACATGGAATACCCGGCGATGTAGATAGTGTTGACTCCCTGATGAAGCTGTAAGGAAGGTGATCATTGTTAATTTAAAAACCATTATAGACACACGCTGGATAGACGCGTATTTGTGTATATAATTTTAACATTCATTTTACAGTTCATGATATTCACTAATATTAATTAATCTACTTCTCTATCAACAGTCAAGGAGACGGGTGATCAGTACCTCGAGGTTGGAGACGTCAATGCAGGTTGTGTAGTTGGACCAGAAGTTGTTGGTGTCGGGATGAGTGAACCACGTGCCATTCTCGTCACAGTCCTTGTGGCCGCTACCTGTGAGACAGAAGTTGAAAACCGTCGTGAATCTATCTATCTATCTATCTATCTCGGCTATCTGGTGGCAAAGATAAACCCGAACATTACACATATATACTGTAGCTATCAAGGAGTGAAGTAAAAATTAGTACATACATGGAAGTTATAATTTACCGAAATGTTATGCTTTACAATTGTTCACTTTGTTAATACATAATAATTCCTGTGTAGAGTCATAGATAACTTCCCCATTGAGTGATTGTATCCAACGTTCTCGAGACCATTAAGAAAATAGAGGAATGATAACACTTTCTCTCCCTCGCCGTCGTCCTCAGCTCAAGGCATTTATAACTCATACATATAATTTGCATCATTAACCTAAGAACATATCCGAATTTACATGTTTTTGAAAAATTTGAAAAGCGAAGCAAAAATAGTCTTTCATTTGTGTACAACTCGCTTCCTTTTTGTTTTATTCACACAATACGTAAAATGTGTAGTAAAATATCACTGTACAGTACATAATGCATATTTACCCAGAGGACTCTACTCGTCACAACAGGTTTTGCCACACATTAAATGTATAGAGGAAAGAAGTTTCTGGGTACATATATATGTAGACATACTGTAAACTAGAGATTATGCAGACATAAATGAATACAGTATAAATTTATATAATAATAATAATAATAATAATTATTATAATTATAATAATAATAATATTAATAATTATAATTATAATAATAATAATAATAATAATAATAATAATAATAATAATAATAATAATAATAATAATAATATTTACTAAATATTTAGGAAATAACTTTCAGTACTTATTAAACAAAATCTCCCACAGTTTTTCAAGATTATGATATAATTAATTCACACATTGAAAAGGTAATCGTTGAAATACTATTGGATTTGAGAGTTTGGGTAATTTTTAAGGAAACATGACTGGGTGGAAGACACGTTTAACATGTAAAAATTTGACGTTAATCAGTTTCACGTATTCAGACACATGATTTTATACGTAGATCAGTGAAGGGATTTTATAGTATTAATACCATATACAAAACACACACACACACACCCTAATTCCTGTGATGAGTTAATTCTATATATTTCTAATTTGTGCATACGTCTAACCTGGAGAAAGATTCATTCTTGAAACCTCGTCTCTTCCTCCTACCTCACTTCACACCCTCTCTCTCTTCTACCTCATCCGGCTTACAGATAGCCGGAGGGAGGAGAGATAATAACGAATGGATACACGTAGTTGCCAAGGGGAAGGAAAGAGGGCTAAGCTTATCCTGTGTTTGTTGTGGGTCTCCGCCTTGGGTTTAACCTGATAAAATGTTTACTAAGGGATAGTGTCTGTATGGCTGTGTATGACTTTACTCTGGTTTTATGAATTCAGTATTTGAGAACAACAGATATAGACTAGAGGAGAAAGGGATAGAGAAAGAGACAAAAAAAAGATGAGAGGGAAAGAGAATGAATAAGAAATAGAAAAAAAGTAAACACACACGCATAAATATATATATATATATATATATATATATATATATATATATATATATATATATATATATATATATAAAGTAAATCACTATATATATATATATATATATATATATATATATATATATATATATATATATATATATATATATATCATGTAGATCTACAATGAAAACGTGGATCAACAAACACAGAAGGGTACCCGAGTTTCTGTGCAATGGAACGAATGTGTTTCAATTCATCGTCAATAAATTCAGAGTCACAAATACGCAGACATCTTAAGAACATAGCAGAAAAACTGACATTTTGGTAGACTCCAGGTGATTCGATAAAAAGTGTATGAAACTGTCTACCTGTGTGGGCTTTCTGTATACCTTAAATTTGTAGTTTTGGTCATTTCTCATGATAAGCATATCAAGGAATGGAAGGGATCCATTTATTTCTCTTTCAATTTTGAATGTGATACTTGGGACAATATCATTAAGCTTGTCTACAAATTCCAATGGGTCACTGTTTCTAGGCCAAAGACAAAGAACATCATCTACATATCTATACCATGGAGGAATATAGTCCACTATATTGGGTAGTAATCTAGACTAAAAAAACTCCATATAAATACAGGTTAGAGGAGTTCTGTGGGTTCTGTTACTTACAAATTATCCAAGTGGCTGGTAAAGATGCTATCCCCTCTTACAGGCCAAATATCTAATTCACATATACACAATAGCAGTGATTTAATTGATAAACTCAAGAAACACAATGAACCATGTGAATTAATAAGTTTTGATGTAAATTCACTGTTCACTAGAGTACCTGTGAAAGACCTACAGTACTTTCATTTCTTAAAGATAAATTACAACTGTTAGATTTAACTATTGAACATGATACTTTCCTCAAATTGATAGAGTTATGCGTAACTGACAATGTGTTTAGAGCAAATGGGAAGTTCTACAAGCAAATATTTGGCATGAGCATGGGCAATTGTCTTTCTGCTCCTTTAGCCTGTATTTATATGGAACGACTTATCTTCTTTTGGCCTGACGCTGATCTAGGTGAGGTTAGGTTTTCTCCGTTTGAAAACTTTAGAAAATAAATGATATCAGGATGTATGTTTACGTCTGACCTCATTGTCCATAAAAAAATATATAAATTTTTGCAAGTAAACTAAACATTCCACAAACAGCAAACCAAATTCATCAGCTGTAATGTGATTATCAAGACGTCACTTCACTGTAACCGAAATGTTGGTTTGTGTGTGTGTGTGTGTGTGTGTGTGTGTGTGTGTGTGTGTGTGTGTGTGTGTGTGTGTTGGTATAGGGAGAAAGGACAGCAGAGCACCACTGGAGGGACACGCCTCAGCGTCTTCCTCTCTGACCTTTGCTCTTGCTTGGCCAGTCCGTTGTTAGCATGACGGCGTTGATTGTCCACCTCGGCTTAAAGGCGAACACCTGGTGTCTTGGTACTGGTTCTATCGTACTTCTCTCTCTCTCTACCGCTGCTAGAGCACTGACTCTACTCGTGGAGTTCTCTCTGCTGCTTGCTGGGCATTGACTGTCTCTTGCCAAGTCATTGAACGTCCACATAGATTTCT